TTGCCCCCCCCCTCCGTAGATCAGCCCTTGCTTTGGAGTCATTTTATGTGCCTTCGTAGTTTTTTTGCTTTTGTCTTTTGCAGTTATGCTTTATAAAAAAGATTGCCCACCTGCATTTACTTGACAGATTGAATGCAAGGCATGTTGGCAACTTTTTCCCTGGCACCAAATCTCCCATTCAAATCTCCTTTTTTGGCTCTGTGTTGCATGGAAAAACACTCAGGTTTACTACAGCGAGGCCTCGGGCACAGCTTCTCCTACAACATGAGTCAGATCCAGTCTGGCTCTCCTCCAGACGAGACGTGATGACAGTTACGGAGTGAACCAGTCCAGTTGAAACAACCAATTGATAAAGAGAGCAGAGACACACACTTGCTCAATCCGCCTTCTCATCCCGAGAAGCGAGGCTGGCATGGGGGACAGAGCTAGCAGCCCACATTCAGGTGAAACAGGACGATGACTTTTAACCGTGACTTCCTTCCAATACACAGGTGAGTCCCACACATACAGTACCATTTTTTTATTATTTTTTAAAAGGTATATACATAGGTATGAATCTGCTGTTGAACTATGAAGTTTCAGATGTGAACAATTAGCAGTAACAACACAGAGGTCAACATTGGATCTCTTCTGAACTGGAGGCGAGTTGATATATCTAGACAGATTCATAATCTAGCTAAATGTATCATCTTCATTGACATGTAAATCAAAGTTACCCGTTGTGAACAATTCTTACTTTCCCCTGAAGTGTCATAGAGCGCTATATGTTTTTTCTGTAGGTGCCTTTATCCTTTAATCCTCAATAGAACTTAGATGAGGCAGGTGAGGTTCAACCTCAGTCATGTTGAGAGACGCCTATAAAACTGAAGAATGTATTGATGGCTTTTTGCTTGCCTGGACCTCTGCCTACTTACACAACACTCCAGCTTAGTCATAAAAACTGAGAAAGTCATAAAGTAATGTTGCGGATATAAATCACGAGGTGTGTTGTGTTTCCACCTTTGCAGGGGTGGAGCAGGGAGACAAGATGAATATTTATACTGATGAGATTTTCCAAAACAGAATAGGAGCATGGCATAGAGCTACTGTAACCCCCACATGTTGAACTCTCTGCAGAACAAACCAACTTGTGAAGTTGATATGTGAGATGAGCTCTTGGTGCTGGCCCTCCACAGAGATCGAGCTGTTGGCCTCTCGAGGATGGCTGCGGCGGTTCTTGTTGCTGAAGCTGGTGACGGTGCTGCTGTTCCCCCACGCAGCCGGCCTCCCCCTGCTAGCTGGCAGCGTGTTCAGCCTGCGGGCCCTGTTGCTGCTGCGCTCCCCCCACATCTCCACCAAGCCCTCCACCGTGCTGCTGGGCCGGCTGGCGCTCACGGACAGCCTTGTGCTGCTGCACTGGACGCTGCGGCTGGGAGTGACGCTAGAGACCCGTTGGACAGAGGAGACTAACATTAGGGAGGAGGGATGGTGGAGGGAGGCTATGGGTGTGCTCTGTCAGCAGCTGCTTGACGCTCACCACCTGGCCTCTCTGCTGCTGCTGGGGCTGCTGGGACTGGAGGCAACGCTGGTGTCTCGCTGGCCCGCGCAGACCCGCAGGTTCAGGACGTCTCACTGGGCTCAGCTCAGCTGCACCCTGGTCTGGACGCTGGTGCTGCTGGAAAGGTTGTACTCGCTCCACTCAAAACTTTTGCAGGACTCTGGACCTCAAACGTATTTCTCCACAGAACAGAACTCCCAAAGTGTTCCTCTGGGCCTGGTGCTTCTTCCCAGCCTTCCCGGTTTCTCCGCCTGCCTGAGGAGGACATTATGGCTGGGGAACTTATGGCTACATTATGCTGTCCTTTATGTCAGACCACAGAAGAGAAAGAGCTCCTTTCATTAAAAGCTTTGACTGTTCATTTTTATTATATTTAATTTATGTAATAAAAGTGCTTAATATGTGCAGAATATGAACTTAGTAAGGTGTCTTAATTTGGGCCTTGAATAAAGTAATATTCAACTAACGGCAGACACTACAGGTTATTGTAAAAGTAAGAGTTTAAATTAAAAGTAATCACAATGAAAACTTCCCCCGATGATTACTTACATGAGGCCATTCTGTTTGCCTTACAAGTTTTTGGTGAAATGTTATGTTTAAATATTCAAATGAGGCATTATCTTTTATTTTGTTGAGATATTAGAGTCAATACATTTTCCAAGACACTACAGGTGAATAAGGTAAAACTGTTTAAATAAAATATATCACAATAAAACTTACCCAACTGACCAATTAACATTGGTCACGTTTTCTTTTAATTATATATTAAATAATCAATTGAGGTATTATCTCATTCTAAACGTTTTTAAATTCAAGAGAAATCTATAGACACAAGTAGACTAAGTTAGTAAAAATAAACAACTATTTCAGATGTCTTCTTAACTTAAGACATGTTTTGTATTTTTATATAAACAACTCACTCAACATGGATCTTGCATTATGTACATTTTTTTTATTTTGCATAAAGCGTCTTAATTTAACTGGACATGGACCCTGTGGCTACAAGTGGCCATTAAATCACACACATTAACTGTTCACTCTTGCTTTTGTAATAAAAGTGACATGCTAGTGTAATAGTAGCAGAGTCAGAAGACATTAAAGCATCCAGACCAACTAAGGCAGTAGATTACATTTCATTGAGGCTTTTATCCAAAGAGTCAAAACAGAGGCGTTTTCAGTTTGCGACGGAATACCTGCAGAGTTTCTGCTGTCCTGATGGTCAATGGGGGGCTCATTCCAGCATTTAAGATCCAAGAGAGCAAACAGGCTTGTGTTTGAGGGGTACCTGGGTCCCACTCTCAGAGATGGAGTAGCAAGCCGATTGGCTGACGCTAAGCGAAGTGCACGTGCTGAAGTGTATGGTTTAACCAAGGCCTGGATGTATGAAGGGGCTGATACCAGCTCGGTAGGCCAGACTTGTATCAAATCGAAAATCTGCTTTTGAATTGGACATTTCATATTAAAAAATGTCATTATTCTTTCTTTTAAAGTTACATAATATTTACTTCAAGGAACAAACCTGTATTAAAAACATACAGTAAATGAAATGTCACATGAGAACTGCCGGAGTAGGTGCACATATTTTATGAACTGTTGCTTTATGTTTTGTCGGGTTTTAATCAAAGGTTTCCTCAGTTTACATCTGAGATGCTCGTAATGTAAGCACTGGATCCCCCATTTTAAAGGTAAGAGATTATGATCAGGTTCACATTATAAATATGCTCTCATCCGTCAGCCTCTCAGCAGTTTGATCTGGCAAACAGCCTAAGATAAGATGAAGAAAAGAAATGCAACACTGACAAATGTTTGCATTGCGGCGATCTTCAGTAGCAGTTTCTCTCATGTTGTTTGTCACATTAGTATCTGTTTCAGGATGTGTTCGGTTTCTGCATATCTTATTTCTCTTTCTGATGAATAGCTGCCTCTACATTTCCTGCAGCTTATCATTTGCACAGTCAAATGTATTCAGAGCATTAACGCAGTAGCAATACTTTTCTAATGGATGAAAATAAGCTCCAGCCTAACTTTGTTTAATGTCTCGTCGGCTTCTGATCAGATAATACACACACAGAAAAATGTGAATGCGTCACAATGCGTGTGTGATAAAAACTTGGTCAGGATGATAAGACAGAAGCCACAAACACCGGGCTTTGGGTTTTAAGACCGGCACACTGTGGCCTTGCATTGCACACATGTCTCTGTGAGGATATGAAAGACCATTCGATGGGTATCCTTTGAGAAAAACTGTTTGATTTAACCACATCACACAGGGTGATGACCAAAAAAACAAATATAGAGTTATTGTGGAAGATGATTTGTGTTGCATCTGAAAAATGCATGTACATTTTGAGTCAAAATAAAGAGATTGAATTCTGAACTCTGCTTACCTCATATTTGGTACTGTATTTAAAAGTACACTGACTGATTGGTCAAAAATATATAGACATAAACGCGAGTGAATAGAGAGCCCCAAACATAATAAACTTTAGAAAAACCCATCAATACCTGTTAAAAATGCCCAACTAAACTGGGATACGTGGATAAACTGTGTAATTTAGAAATTAACGGATATTACAAACAACAATTCATTACTATTACTCCATGAACAAAAACATAAATATAAACCTAAAGACACACTTTGTTTTTGTTTTACTATTTGCAATTATAAAACTGGATATCAATCTTCAAAGTAGTTACATTTGAGATAGGGATAATTTTTATAAAAAGTGAAAATTAGAACGCTTAGTAAAGTCAGAATTTACTACAAAAATGTATTTACTTTAATCAGATTAAATCCTGAACCCAAATATATTTTTCACATGCGGCCTGAAATATAAAAATGCTTCTGTGTGGCCCTTATTGTCTTCCGTATGTAAGGATCAGGTGAGAAACAGTTTCATTTTACTTGAGAGACATGAAGGATGTTATTGTTGAAGTGTATACTTTGTCCAACAGAGGGAAGCATAGAGTCTGCTGTCAACATACTGTATTCTTTAGACTTTACTGAGTCATAAGGTTGGAGAGGATGGAGAGACTCAGCTACTACAGGCTAATTAACATGGCTGCCCTATGTTTGTGTGTGTGTGTGTGTGTGTGTGTGTGTGTGTGTGTGTGTGTGTGTGTGTGTGTGTGTGTGTGTGTGTGTGCGTGTGTGTGTGTGTGTGTGTGTGTG